AAAAAAAAGACTGACAATTGATGGCAAAAAGTAAATTTTTTTTTTCTCAAACAGGTCAAGTAAAATTCATTGGTTTACGTGAAGGTCATAGCGTTTACAAATGGTGGTATATATACACCGGGATATTTTAATGGTTTTATTTTTACTAGTAATGGCGGCATTCAGCGACTTATATTGGGACTGTGGCGGGCATTCTGACGGGGGGGGGGGAGAAACGGACTTGGTGTCTGACACCAATACAGTGATCAGTGCTAATAAAAAGCACTGACACTGTACTAATGGCACTGAGCAGGAAGGGGTTAACATGAGGGGTGATCAAATGGTTAACACAGTGTGCTGGGAGTGTTTTACTAGGGGGCAGTGTCTGTGTGCTTCACTATAAGCACACTGCTTTGGATGGCTGTGCAGAGCCATCCAGAGCAGTGTGCCCAAGCTGACAGGGAGAACTGTCAATAAACAAAACCGGTCTCCTTCCCGGAGATCCTCAGTAATCACCAGGCGGGACCCAGTGATTGACAGCCACGGCCACGAATGGGACACGCACACCGCCCCCTAACCAGGATTGTACACACACACACACAACACACACACACACAAAGTGTTTGATCCCCTGCTGATTTTGAATATTTGCCCACTCACAAAAAGTGATCAGTCTAAAAATCGAATGTTCGGTGTATTATAACACAGACAGAATAGCAACAAAAATTCAAAAGAAATGCATGTCTAAAAATGATGACTGATTTGCATGTTCATGAGGGAAATAAGTATTTGATCCCCTATCATTCAGCAGGATTTCTGGCTACCAGGTGTCTTTCATACAGGTAACAAGCTGAGATTAGAAGCAGTCTCTTAAAGGGAGTGCTGCTAATCTCGTTTTGTTACCTGTATAAAAGACACCTGCCCACAGGAGCAATCAATCAGATTCCAAACTCTCCACCATGGCAAAGACCAAAGAGCTGTCCAAGGATGTCAGGGACAAGATTGTACCTACACAAGGCTGGACTGGGCTTCCAAACTATCGCCAAGCAGCTTGGTGAGAAGGTGACAACAGTTGGTGCAATCATTTGCAAATGGAAGAAACACAAAACAACTGTCAGTCTCCCTAGGTCTGGTGCACCATGCAAGATCTCACCTCGTGGAGTGTCAATGATCATGAAAACAGTGAGGAATCATCCCAGAACTACACGTGAAGATCTTGTCAATGATCTCCAGGCAGCTGGGACCACAGTCACCAAGAAAACAATTGGTAACACACTACGCCGACAAGGATTGAAATCCTGCAGTGCTCGCAAGGTCCCTCTGCTCAAGAAAGCACATGTCCAGGCCCGCCTGAAGTTTGCCACTGAACATCTGAATGATGCAGAGGAGGACTGGTTGAAAGTGTTGTGATCAGATGAGACCAAAATCAAGCTCTTTGGCATCAACTCAACTCGCCGTGTTTGGAGAAGGAATGCTGCCTATGACCCCAAGAACACCATCCCAACTGTGAAACATGGTGGTGGAAACATTCTGCTTTGGGGGTGTTTTTCTGCTAAGGGGACAGGACAACTACACCACATCAAAGGGACGAAGGACGGGGCAATGTACCATAAATCTTGGGTGAGAACCTTCTTCCCTCAGCGAGGGCATTGAAAATGGGTCGTGGATGGGTGTTCCAGCATGACAATGACCCAAAAAACACGGCCAAGGCAACAAAGGAGTGGCTCAAGAAGAAGCACATTAAGGTCCTGGAGTGGCCTAGCCAGTCTCCAGACTTTAATCCGATTGAAAATCTGTTGAGGAGATGAAAGTTCAAGTTGCCAAACGTCAGCCACCAAACCTTAATGACTTGGAGAGGATCTGCCAAGAGCAGTGGGCCAAAATCCCTCCTGAGATGTGTGCAAACCTGGTGGCCAATTACAGGAAACGTCTGACCTCTGATCACCAACAAGGGATTTGCCACCAAGTACTAAGTCATGTTTTTGTGAAGGGGATCAAATACTTATTTCCCTCATGAACATGCAAATCAGTCATCATTTGTTAGACATGCATTTCTTTTGAATTTTGTGTTCCTATTCTATCTCTCAGTGTTACAATACACCTACCATTTGATTTTTAGACTGATCATTTCTTTGTGAGTGGGCAAACATTCAAAATCAGCAGAGGATCAAATACTTATTTCCTTCACTGTATACACACACACACACACACGTGATTTTGCGCACTTGTACCCTTATCCATCCAAGTTGATGCGAACGGATCACAAACCGATACTGAACATCCACGTACACCAGTCACCCGATTCCACACAATCGTTTCTTCCTTTTTAATTTGGGATACACATGGACAGGCATTTTTCTGTGTTCAACAAACAATGTAGGTCAGCAGATACCACTTTCTTGCAATGGTGCCGGTGTGTAGGACGGTTCTAAGGCCGCACGTTACCCACTTTGGGTCACATTTCTTTGGATGGAGCAAGTCCTATTAACTATGCTGTATGCACTATGGGCAAAATAGCTGAAAGGCAGTTGTCGGTTGCAACGCTGTGTATGATGCAAAGGTCAGCGATGGACACTACCATCCACGTACATAAGCCTTTAAAATGTATTAGTTTTATATTTCTCTGTGTGACCCCATGAGGAAGAGTCACTTCCTGTCGCCGTGATGTCCATACATGAAATGAGGGCACAGAAGAGTCTCCCATGACTCATACAAGAAAATGTGGCCATGGTTGTCACCAGACAGGGAAGTCTCTCACTTCCTGTCACTAAGATACCTGTACATGAAATAGGGGCACAGCTGATTAGAACAGCTTCTTCCTTCGTGTCACTGCAATGTACATAGAAAAAAAAAAAAAAATAATAGGGGCATGGTTGTCATCCTACTTTCTGAGATAGCTATGCATGGAACTGGGGCAAGTCACTTCCGGTCACCATGACGTCTATACATGAAATGGGGTCACGGCTGTCAGAAGAGGCTCCCATGATCCCATATATGAAATGTGGCCCCAGTGGTTACCGCTCACTTCCGGCCATGGAGATACCCATACATGAAATGGTGATATGTTGTCACCAGACAGAAAAGCATGGACACCAATACAAACATTGTCACTTCATCACTCTCCATTGAAGATGTGTGCATCCCTGCTGGAGACATTTCCCATCACTTCCTTCCCTGACCGGAAATGAGGGCTAATCTCCCCATGGGACATGGAAGGGCATAACCTGACAGAGGATGTGACACTTTCCCAGCTCTGTCCAATAAATCATCTGTGTTGCCTGGATCAGGTGACACAATGAAATGAACAAGATCACCTTGTGATGACAACTGACCCCCCAACCAATGTCTCATGGAGGGAATGATCAATGAATTGATGGCTCTCCCCTCTAATTTCTCTGGGGACCATTTGGTTGAGACTAGATCCACAAGGTCCAAGGCCATTTTCCTGGGGATCAGCCACCTAGCTCTGAGGGCCAGTCTCCCAGCTACGAAGACCCACCTCCCTGGAGACCACCTTCTCCATGACCCCAAAGCCCAGCCTCGAGGGCCACTTTACTGGGGCCCGGTTCCCCAGCTCCAAGGGGCCACCTTCCTGGGAGCCACCTTCCCAGTAATTCAGCTCTGAAGACCACCTTCCTGGGGACCAGTTCTCCAGCGGTTACCTTCTAAGTGACCCTGATCCCCTGCATTGAGGGCCTCCTTCATAAGTGCCAATCTCCAGCTTCAGGGACCACGTTCCTGGAAGCCACCTTGCCAGTGCTCCAAGGGCCACCTTCTGAGAGGGCTAATCCTCAGCTCCAGGGGCCAGGTTCCGGGGGTTGGTTGCCCAGCTCAATGGGGCCACCTTCCTGGGAACAATCCCCAGCTCCAGGGACCACATTCCTGGGAGCCACTTTCACAGTGACCCTGAACCCCAGCTCTGAGGGCCACATTTTTGGGGGGGCTAAACCTCAGCTCTAGGGGCCATGTTTCTGGGGATTGGTTTGCCCAACTCCATGGGGCCACCTTCCAAGTGACCCTGATCTCCCCTGCCCCGGGGGCACAGTTCATGGGTGCCAATTCCCAGCTCCAGGGACCACGTTCCTTGAAACCACCTTGCCAGTGACCCCAAACCCCAGCTCTGAGGGCCACCTTCTGGGGGGCTAATCCTCAGCTCCAGGGCCATGTTCCTAGGGATTGGTTGCCCAACTCCATGGGGCCACCTTCCTGGGGACCAATCCAAGTTACCCTGATCCCCTGCGCCGGGGGCACAGTTCATGGGTGCAAATCCCCAGCTCCAGGGACCACGTTCCCAGAAGCCACCTTGCCAGTGACACCAAACCCCAGCTCTGAGGGGCACCTTCCGGGGGGCTAATCCTCAGCTCTAGTGGCCATGTTCCTGGGGACCAATCCCCAGCTCCAGAGACCAGGTTTCTGGGAGCCACTTTCACAGTGACCCTGAACCCCAGTTCCGAGGGTCACCTTCCTGGGGGCTAGTCCACAGCTCCAGGGGCCACGTTCCTGGGGATTGGTTGCCCAGTTCCAGGGGCCACCTTCCAAGTGACCCTGAACCCCTGCACCGGGGGCACCGTTCGTGGGGGCCAATCCCAAGCTCCAAGGGCCACCTTCCTGAGGACCCAGATTCCCTGCACTGGGGGCAAACTTCCCAGGGTTCCATCCCCAGCTGCAGGGGTCACCTTCTTGGGTGCCACCTACCCAGTGACCCCGATACCCAGCTGTTGGGGCCACCTTCCCAGCACCAAGGGCCCACCTTCCTGGGGGCCAATCCCAGGATGAGAGAGCGTCCCTTCCTGGTGGTGGAGAGGTCTGCATCCCACCAGCACACATGACTGAGAAGTCCTCTAAGCTGGAACATTTATATAACAAGGACATTGTATGCCGGGGTCACCAGTCCCAGCACAGGGAGCTCTCCTCCTCTCCGGGGCCCACAATATCTCATCATATATAAATAAGGTCGCCGACCCCCCCCTCCCCCGCCGCCATATTGGCACGGCCCCCCCACCCCCCTCTCAGGTACTCACTGCCCAGCTTGATGGCGCTGAAGCCGGCAGGCACAGAGGCGGCCCCTCCCGCGGCTCCTCCGGGGGGGCCCTTGGCAGCTCCGCCCCCTGGCCGGGTCACCGAAGGCCTCGGGCCGGGCCCGGTTGGCGCCGCTCATAGTGAGGAGCGAGGAGAGCAGACGCTGAATGGTGCCGCCCACACACACACACTCCCGGGCCGCGCAGCTTCCTGGGAACCCGAGTCCTCTCCCCCCCTCCGCCAATCAGCGCCGACCGACCTCCTGACTACAACTCCCAGCCTGCCCCACGACACCACATAGGAACGTGGGATTGTGGGCGACCGAGTGCACGAACTACCAGAGAGGCGACACCGAGAGACTACATTTCCCAGTGTGCCACAGGGCAAGGATTAGACAGCGCGCCCTCTGCTGTCCGGAGGATACAACACCACATCCAGTAAAGGGCGATCCCCATCCAAAGTCACAGGAGAGGGAAAAACAACTAAGGTTCTGGTTCTGTTACAACTCATCCGTTTTCTTCCGCTTTCACGTAAAAAAAAATAAATAAAAAACAAACAAAAACATGTGACCTTGTATTCCTTATGGAACTCTTCACACAGATCCATTCCGTTTATTAAAATCCTGCTTGGTTGCATTTTTGGTGCAGGGAAAAAAAAAAAAAAAAAACCCACACCAAAAACGCACCTCACTGAAATCAAAGGAAAAATGTAGAAAGGCAGCCAGGTTGCATTTTTTGGCATGGTTGAGTCACACGTCCTGTAAAAACAAAAACAAAAAAATGCAAACACTAACAATGTGGATCAGCATGAAAGTAGCCAAATAACGAATATTCCACATCATATAAGGAACGGCAAAAATGACAACGGGCGTTCCGTTTTTTTTTTTTTTTTCATCAGTTCCGTCACATTTTCACAAAGAAAAACAAACAAACACAAAAACAGATCAGTTTATCCATCCGTTTACGTATGCTAGTAGTCCATAGAAATACATGAGTGTCCGTTTTTTCATCCATAAACAGATAGATGAAAACAGACATAAGGAACGCCCGCGTGAAAGAGCCCTTAATGTTAACTTCTCGGTTTTTCAGAATTGTTACGTCTAGTTTTATTTGTTCTGTTTTGTAGTGCTTTTTGCACATACATTTGATGCGTTTTTTTTCATGTTTTTTGGGTCAACTTCTTGCTGAGCAGATTAAAAACACAAAAATGCATAAAAAAAAATGTGGCAAATGCATGAAAAACGTATAAAAAATGCACTACATGCATTATCTGCAGAGTCTCCATTGAAGTCTAAGCAACTACTCTCCCCAGCGTCACCAACGATGGGCCACCACTCTCCCCCAGCGTCACCAACGATGGGCCACCACTCTCCCCAGCGTCACCAACGATGGGCCACCACTCTCCCCAGCGTCACCAACGATGGGCCACCACTCTCCCCAGCGTCACCAACGATGGGCCACCACTCTCCCCAGCGTCACCAACGATGGGCCACCACTCTCCCCAGCGTCACCAACGATGGGCCACCACTCTCCCCAGCGTCACCAACGATGGGCCACCACTCTCCCCAGCGTCACCAACGATGGGCCACCACTTCCCCAGCGTCACCAAACGATGGGCCACACACTCTCCCCAGCGTCACCAACGATGGGCCACCACACTCCCCAGCGTCACCAACGATGGGCCACCACTCTCCCCAGCGTCACCAACGATGGGCCACCACTCTCCCCAGCGTCACCAACGATGGGCCACCACTCTCCCCAGCGTCACCAACGATGGGCCACCACTCTCCCCAGCGTCACACCAACGATGGGCCACCACTCTCCCCAGCGTCACACCAACGATGGGCCACCACTCTCCCCAGCGTCACCAACGATGGGCCACCACTCTCCCCCAGCGTCACCAACGATGGGCCACCACTCTCCCCAGCGTCACCAACGATGGGCCACCACTCTCCCCACCCACCAACGATGGGCCACCACTCTCAGCGTCACCAACGATGGGCCACCACTCTCCCCAGCGTCACCAACGATGGGCCACCCACTCTCCCCAGCGTCACCAACGATGGGCCACCACTCTCCCCAGCGTCACCAACGATGGGCCACCACTCTCCCCAGCGTCACCAACGATGGGCCACCACTCTCCCCAGCGTCACCAACGATGGGCCACCACTCTCCCCAGCGTCACCAACGATGGGCCACCACTCTCCCCAGCGTCACCAACGATGGGCCACCACTCTCCCCAGCGTCACCAACGATGGGCCACCACTCTCCCCAGCACCAAACGATCCACCAACTCCCCAGCGTCACCAACGATGGGCCACCACTCTCCCCAGCGTCACCAACGATGGGCCACAACTCTCCCCAGCGTCACCAACGATGGGCCACCACTCTCCCCACGTCACCAACGATGGGCCACCACTCTCCCCAGCGTCACCAACGATGGGCCACCACTCTCCCCCAGCGTCACCAACGATGGGGCCACCACTCTCCCCAGCGTCACCAACGATGGGCCACCACTCTCCCCAGCGTCACCAACGATGGGCCACCACTCTCCCCAGCGTCACACAACGATGGGCCACCACTCTCCCCAGCGTCACCAACGATGGGCCACCACTCTCCCCAGCGTCACCAACGATGGGCCACCACTCTCCCCAGCGTCACACAACGATGGGCCACCACTCTCCCCAGCGTCACCAACGATGGGCCACCACTCTCCCCCAGCGTCACCAACGATGGGCCACCACTCTCCCCAGCGTCACCAACGATGGGCCACCACTCTCCCCAGCGTCACCAACGATGGGCCACCACTCTCCCCAGCGTCACCAACGATGGGCCACCACTCTCCCCAGCGTCACCAACGATGGGCCACCACTCTCCCCAGCGTCACCAAACGATGGGCCACCACTCTCCCCAGCGTCACCAACGATGGGCCACCACTCTCCCCAGCGTCACCAACGATGGGCCACCACTCTCCCCAGCGTCACCAACGATGGGCCACCACTCTCCCCAGCGTCACCAACGATGGGCCACCACTCTCCCCAGCGTCACCAACGATGGGCACCACTCTCCCCAGCGTCACCAACGATGGGCCACCACTCTCCCCCCAGCGTCACCAACGATGGGCCACCACTCTCCCCAGCGTCACCAACGATGGGCCACCACTCTCCCCAGCGTCACCAACGATGGGCCACCCACTCTCCCCAGCGTCACCAACGATGGGCCACCACTCTCCCCAGCGTCACCAACGATGGGCCACCACTCTCCCCAGCGTCACCAACGATGGGCCACCACTCTCCCCAGCGTCACCAACGATGGCCACCACTCTCCCCAGCGTCACCAACGATGGGCCACCACTCTCCCCAGCGTCACCAACGATGGGCCACCACTCTCCCCAGCGTCACCAACGATGGGCCACCACTCTCCCCAGCGTCACCAACGATGGGCCACCACTCTCCCCACGTCACCAACGATGGGCCACCACTCTCCCAGCGTCACCAACGATGGGCCACCACTCTCCCCAGCGTCACCAACGATGGGCCACCACTCTCCCCAGCGTCACCAACGATGGGCCACCACTCTCCCCAGCGTCACCAACGATGGGCCACCACTCTCCCCAGCGTCACCAACGATGGGCCACCACTCTCCCCAGCGTCACCAACGATGGGCCACCACTCTCCCCAGCGTCACCAACGATGGGCCATGGGCCACCACTCTCCCCAGCGTCACCAACGATGGGCCACCACTCTCCCCCAGCGTCACCAACGATGGGCCACCACTCTCCCCAGCGTCACCAACGATGGGCCACCACTCTCCCCAGCGTCACTCTCTCCCCAGCGTCACCAACGATGGGCCACCACTCTCCCCAGCGTCACCAACGATGGGCCACCACTCTCCCCAGCGTCACCAACGATGGGCCACCACTCTCCCCAGCGTCACCAACGATGGGCCACCACTCTCCCCAGCGTCACCAACGATGGGCCACCACTCTCCCCAGCGTCACCAACGATGGGCCACCACTCTCCCCAGCGTCACCAACGATGGGCCACCACTCTCCCCAGCGTCACCAACGATGGGCCACCACTCTCCCCAGTGTCACCAACGATGGGCCACCACTCTCCCCCAGCGTCACCAACGATGGGCCACCACTCTCCCCAGCGTCACCAACGATGGGCCACCACTCTCCCCAGCGTCACCAACGATGGGCCACCACTCTCCCCAGCGTCACCAACGATGGGCCACCACTCTCCCCAGCGTCACCAACGATGGGCCACCACTCTCCCCAGCGTCACACCAACGATGGCCACCACTCTCCCCAGCGTCACCAACGATGGGCCACCACTCTCCCCAGCGTCACCAACGATGGGCCACCACTCTCCCCAGCGTCACCAACGATGGGCCACCACTCTCCCCAGCGTCACCAACGATGGGCCACCACTCTCCCCAGCGTCACCAACGATGGGCCACCACTCTCCCCAGCGTCACCAACGATGGGCCACCACTCTCCCCAGCGTCACCAACGGGCCCACCACTCTTCCCAGCGTCACCAACGGGCCACCACTCTCCCCAGCGTCACCAACGGGCCACCACTCTTCCCAGCGTCACCAACGGGCCACCACTCTTCCCAGCGTCACCAACGGGCCACCACTCTTCCCAGCGTCACCAACGGGCCACCACTCTTCCCAGCGTCACCAACGGGCCACCACTCTTCCCAGCGTCACCAACGGGCCACCACTCTTCCCAGTGTCACCAATGGGCCACCACTCTTCCCAGTGTCACCAATGGGCCACCACTCTTCCCAGTGTCACCAATGGGCCACCACTCTTCCCAGTGTCACCAATGGGCCACTATTCTTCCCAATGTCACCAATGGGCCACTATTCTTCCCAATGTCACCAATGGGCCACTATGCTTCCTAGTGTTACCAACGATAGGCCACTATTCCTCTTTAGAATACCAAAATGAGGTGCTGTTTTCTGCCCCTGATGCCAGGAAAATTTAAAATCCCACTGGCCACAGTCTGGCACCTCTGAAGAATGAATGACAATAAAATGGCCCTTTCTTCAGAAAGTTTGCAGACCCCTGGTTTATAGTTTAATTCCTATAGCCCTTTATATTCTGTTTTCTTAGGTTTATTAGTGTCATCCTGATCATTAATTCCCCCTCAAGCCCCGTATGCATGCAATGAGAATATTGGACAAATGATCACCTGTATTTTTGCATGCTAGCCAATTCTTGTACCACAGAATAAAAATTTGGAAGTGATGTATTGTATTTTCGGACGAAAACTGTACCGACGATTAAATGAAAATTGTACAATCTGGTATTGTACTAGAAACATTTTTGTGCTTGTCCCTTCGAATAATTTTGGATGAAAGCAGTCTACCAACGATCAGATTATATTACAAATCGCATTGAAAGCGGTATTTTACATCCGATTTTCTGATTGTGTCTACTAGGCTTCAGACATCCTCACAAGATAATGGAGGGATGTGGTTCTGTAAACCGCAGAACAATGTAACTGATGACGGCACAGACAGATAGAACAAAGTTGTTAGCTAACAAGATTTTTGGCATAGTTACATAGTTAGTCTGGCAGGAAAAAAAAAAAGTTATAATCCTATACCCACAGTTGATCCAGTGGAAGGCAAAAAAACCAGCAAAGCATGATCCAATTTGCTCCTGCAGGGGAAGAAAATTCCTTCCGGATCCCCCGAGAAGCAATCGGATATTCCCTGGATCAACTTTACCTATAAATGTTAGAATCCAGTTATATTCTGTGTATCGAGGAAAGCAATCCACTGAGCTGGCCGGAACCAAGTCTTGAAGGAGTCTATTCCACATTTTCACAGCTCTTACTTTTTTTTACCTTCTCAAAACCGATAAACCTCTTTCAATTGTATATATACACACCAGAACAAAAAGGGACTAGGGCAGGCCATAGATTATGCAATTTTTGTTCTTGCAACCACAGGTTGAAAGAATAATCACTTGATTTCCACATCAACAGAGTCAGTGTGGATGGGGGAATCCCTCCCATGGAGCTATTGTGTTCACCCGGTGGGAGCGGTGTGGAGAGCCATCCCCACCAGGGGAGCAGCGGTTATTGCTAGTGGCTACAGCTGTTGGCAATAATCACATGAAAAACCCAACATTCTGGTTGTGCCAAAGTCATGCAACAATCAAATTGGGTACAATCAGCCTGCCCCATAGATGGTTCAAATTTCAGCTGGTCCCTGAACCAGCCGAGATTCAAACAATCTATGACCGGCTTAAGGCAATTTTCTGTCCTTTGCCTGTGCAAGGGTAAAGGTAGGGATATTACTATATATATATATATATATATATATATATATATATATATATATATATATATATAATATATATATATAATAATTTTATTTCCCCACCACCAAGATAAGTGTAAAGAATTTCATCCTTGGAGTTCTTTAAATCTCCAGCTTTACATTGTTTGAGAAGATGACAGACTGGAATCTCCTTTAAGCCCGATACATCCCGGCAGACACTTCCAGTTACAGACAATGTACAGAGAAGAGTTTCCACATTCATGCATCTGCAATGAAGTCGTGCGAGAGGCTCAGCAGCCCCAAGGATGTGGTGCACCAAACATGGTTAAACAATTAAAGGCTCCACAGCTGAAGGTGCACAGTGTGGGTTTTCCGACCAGATGTTACCAACTTCACACAAACTCCTTCCTTTCTTTGTTTCCTCTGCAACTTCCTTTTATCATCAAAATCAAGCACAGTTCTCATCACCATTTCCACTTTGAGAAAACCTTTCAGCAATGTGTAAACTTAAAGGAGAACTCCATTCATGGCACAAAAAACAAAAAAACCACATACCATACACCACTGTTGGGCTCCTGATCATTTACAGGGTTACAGCCTAGAAGGGCAGATGTAAATTAAAGTGGTTCTAAAGCCTGCATTAAAGGGTTACTGGACCCCCGCCTCCGCTGTACCGGTCTCCCCAGGACCCCGCATCCGCTGTATCCGGTCTCCCCAGGACCCCGCATTCGCTGTATCCGGTCTCCCCAGGACCCCGCATTCGCTGTATCCGGTCTCCCCAGGACCCCGCATTCGCTATATCCGGTCTCCCCAGGACCCCGCATCCGCTATATCCGGTCTCCCCAGGACCCCGCATTCGCTATATCCGGTCTCCCCAGGACCCCCCGCATTCGCTATATCCGGTCTCCCCAGGACCCCGCATTCGCTATATCCGGTCTCCCCCAGGACCCCGCATTCGCTATATCCGGTCTCCCCAGGACCCCGCATTCGCTATATCCGGTCTCCCCATTCGCTATATCCGGTCTCCCCAGGACCCCGCATTCGCTATATCCGGTCTCCCCAGGACCCCGCATTCGCTATATCCGGTCTCCCCAGGACCCCGCATTCGCTATCCGGTATCCCGTCTCCCCAGGACCCCGCATTCGCTATATCCGGTCTCCCCAGGACCCCGCATTCGCTATATCCGGTCTCCCCAGGACCCCGCATTCGCTATATCCGGTCTCCCCAGGACCCCGCATTCGCTATATCCGGTCTCCCCAGGACCCCGCATTCGCTATATCCGGTCTCCCCAGGACCCCGCATTCGCTATATCCGGTCTCCCCAGGACCCCGCATTCGCTATATCCGGTCTCCCCAGGACCCCGCATTCGCTATATCCGGTCTCCCCAGGACCCCGCATTCGCTATATCCGGTCTCCCCAGGACCCCGCATTCGCTATATCCGGTCTCCCCAGGACCCCGCATTCGCTATATCCGGTCCCCCAGGACCCCGCATTCGCTATATCCGGTCTCCCCCAGGACCCCGCATTCGCTATATCCGGTCTCCCCAGGACCCCGCATTCGCTATATCCGGTCTCCCCAGGACCCCGCATTCGCTATATCCGGTCTCCCCAGGACCCCGCATTCGCTATATCCGGTCTCCCCAGGACCCCGCATTCGCTATATCCGGTCTCCCCCAGGACCCCGCATTCGCTATATCCGGTCTCCCCAGGACCCCGCATTCGCTATATCCGGTCTCCCCAGGACCCCGCATTCGCTATATCCGGTCTCCCCAGGACCCCGCATTCGCTATATCCGGTCTCCCCAGGACCCCGCATTCGCTATATCCGGTCTCCCCAGGACCCCGCATTCGCTATATCCGGTCTCCCCAGGACCCCGCATTCGCTATATCCGGTCTCCCCAGGACCCCGGACCCCGCATTTCGCTATATCCGGTCTCCCCCAGGACCCCGCATTCGCTATATCCGGTCTCCCCAGGACCCCGCATTCGCTATATCCGGTCTCCCCAGGACCCCGCATTCGCTATATCCGGTCTCCCCAGGACCCCGCATTCGCTATATCCGGTCTCTCCCCCCCGCATTCGCTATATCCGGTCTCCCCAGGACCCCGCATTCGCTATATCCGGTCTCCCCAGGACCCCGCATTCGCTATATCCGGTCTCCCCAGGACCCCGCATTCGCTATATCCGGTCTCCCCAGGACCCCGCATTCGCTATATCCGGTCTCCCCAGGACCCCGCATTCGCTATATCCGGTCTCCCCGGACCCCGCATTCACTATATCCGGTCTCCCCGGACCCCGCATTCACTATATCCGGTCTCCCCGGACCCTGCATTCACTATATCTGGTCTCCCCGGACCCCGCATTCACTATATCCGGTCTCCCCCCAGGACCCCGCATTCACTATATCCGGTCTCCCCGGACCCTGCATTCACTATATCCGGTCTCCCCGGACCCTGCATTCACTATATCTGGGCTCCCCGGACCCCGCATTCACTATATCCGGTCTCCCCAGGACCCTGCATTCACTATATCTGGTCTCCCACAGTACATACAACATAGAAATGCAGCATTATTTTAGTAAATATAAACTGCTGAATACCTTTTCTCAGCGGTTAGAGCAGTCTTGTGACTTCTATCAGTGTCCAGCAGAGCACTGGTTAAAGCTTGCCGGAGGAGTTCTCATTTCGCTCTAGGATGCAGAACCCTGACCTCTGTCTGGACAGTGCCGATTGGCCCTGTGTTGATCACATGCACTCTCCGAAGTAAAAAAAAAAAAAAAAAAAAAAAAAACGAACCAACCAAACAAACCCTCTCCAGCAATATACACCAAACTGAGCATGTGCACAGTGTCTCCACACGATATGTCTTATCTGGAGATAAGAGGGAGACACTGAAAGAAGGGGAGGATCAGAGAAGACCAGATCAAACAGCCCTTTTACACAATGCAGAGTATTAACCCTTTTGGTATCACAGTGAGTATAACAAGCATGCTTTACTGCATATCCAGACTGATTTGTACTGTTGTGGGTTTAATAACACTATGCAGTGGTGCACCAAAATTCTGGGCCGAAACCAAAACTTCAGGATGCACATGGCTAGAAACCGAAATGGACAGTTTTTAAAAAAATATATATAGAATTGTATTATAATGGACTTTTTAATAGTTATTTTAGGTTTTTATTCACCCTGAGGTCATCACAGAGGACAAGGGGGCACTCATTACGTCTGGAGCAAAAGAGATTTAATCTCCAAACATGGAAAGGTTTCTTCACAGTAAGAGCTGTGAAAATGTGGAATAGACTCCCTCAAGAGTTGGTTCTGGCCAGCTCAGTGGATTGCTTTAAAAAAGTCCTGGATTCTTTCTTGGATACACAGAATATAAACTGGATACTAACATTTATTTATTATTTATTTCAGGTACTTCTATAGCGTCGTCAATTTAAGCAGCGCTTTACATATATATTGTACATTCACATCAGTCCCTAACCCTCAAGGGGCGTACAATCTAAGGTCCCTAACTCACATTCATACATACACATACTAGGGCCAATTTAGACAGGGGCCAATTCACCTACCAGCATGTCTTTGGAGTGTGGGAGGAAACCGGAGTACCCGGAGGAAACCCACGTAGGCACAGGGAGAACATGCAAACTCCAGGCAGGTGGTGCCGTGGTTGGGATTCGAACTGACGACCCTAGTACTGCCAGCCAGGCGGGAGTGCTAACCATTTAGCCCCTGAGCTGCCCATTTATAGGTAAAGTCGATCCAGGGAATATCCAATTGCCTCCCGGGGATCAGGAAGGAATTTTTTTCCCTGCAGGAGCAAATTGGATCATACTTTGTTGGGTTTTTTGCCTTCCTCTGGATCAACTGTGGGTGTAGGATAAAACTTTTTTTTTTTTTTTTTTTTTTTTTTTTAATGGTTGAACTGGATGGACTTTGTCTTTTCAGCCAGACTAACTATGTAACTATACTGGATTGTAACAAAAATTGGACAAAAAATAAAAATAAGTATACACAAAATGAAACCTATTTAAATAGAGGCCATTTTGCATTGAAGTCAACGTGACACGCTTTTGCATTGAAGTCAATAATCGTTATTGGTACCTTTTTTCCTTTCCAATTGGCAAAACGCAGGTAACCATATTTTTGGCCGATAATTTTCAGCAGCCAATATATCTGCATAACTAGCATTAAGGTAATAAACTTTTTTTTTTTTTGGTATAGCTGCCCAACCTCCCCAATACATACCCGAGCATTATCTCGGTCCAGTGGTGTTCACAAAAGCAACCCCGCTTCTCTCCCCCTCATCACTAGACTGTCATAGGCTCTCGCTGCTGCCAATCAAATCCAGCGACAGGGGGAGGCGGTGTTGAGCCACACATTGTGTGTCAATAGATGCACACAATGCAGCGTGGGATTGTGCCCACACGATTACCCCCTTGCAAGTCACTTGGTACACAAGGGGGATGGGGGGAGGGAGGGGGGTGTAGCCAGAAGTACAGAGAGTACCCAAAAACAGAAGGATCAAGCCTACTCTGTGTAAAATCATTGCACAGAGCAGATTAATAACATGTTTATTATTTTAGAAACATAAAATTTGATATCACCGTAATGTGCTCTCAGCTCTTTAGGTGAAGAGGCTGACTGTGGCTGCAGCTAATCATACAATGTGTGTACGCAGCCATAGCACATAATGCTGATGCGTCCAGATGTAGAGTTTAGGGTTCCCAGAACACCATCAGTAAAGACCGTCTGTCTGGGATACTCCATAATCATACAAGGTGGTGGTGGTGATGGGGGGGTGCCTCAGATTCAGCTGCATATGTAATCTGAACAGATCCAACACTGGGAATCATAAGGAGGTGGCTGTGCCTCCCCCCATCATTCAGCTGCTTTTGTGAATACTTGTTACTTTACGAACAGAAAGTTAATCTTCCACACTAAAATACTGAAATATGTATAAAAACACTATACAGGGTCAGTCTGCATTGCATAGACAAGCACAGAGGCCTATTGATGTCACTGGGTCTAAAAGAAGGTATTTGATGGAACTGAAAGACTATTGGATTTCGTTAGCATGTTGATGAGGAAGGGAAGGGCCAGGGAAGGTAAAATCGAAGCAGAATATACTTCAATACATCCCAATTGTGACATAGTATCTCCACAATATTATGTCCAACACCACCCCAGTGTAAGCAGGCGGATCATGGAAAACAGACCGTGAAGATTGTTTGGACAAAAGGACAGTATTTAGAGAAGATAGAGAACGAAATTAACTAAGACTCCCTTATAGCAAAGGTTGATTGCCTTCTATTCTGGATTTTACATTTATCAAAACAAGCTAACTGCTCATTGTTCTTCTAATCCAACTAAATCTCCCTGTAGTAAGGAGACAATTGATCTCTGGGATCTGAAGTGAAATCTCAGGCTATTCAATCACTTCCGTGATCAGATTAACACTGCCCCAATATATAGAATCCTATCTTCAGTTATTGTCAGACAGCCTCTCCCATCCCCAACACCAGGATACCCAACTTCTCCATCCATGGAGCAACAGAGCCAGTCTAGGCTACAGATACATGAGCCTCCACTATATCCGCTCTCCCCGGACCCCGCCTCCACTATATCCGCTCTCCCCGGACCCCGCCTCCACTATATCCGCTCTCCCCGGACCCCGCCTCCACTATATCCGCTCTCCCCGGGACCCCGCCTCCACTATATCCGCTCTCCCGGGACCCCGCCTCCACTATATCCGCTCTCCCCGGACCCCGCCTCCTCCACTATATCCGCTCTCCCCGGGACCCCGCCTCCACTATATCCGCTCTCCCGGGACCCCGCCTCCACTATATCCGCTCTCCCGGGACCCCGCCTCCACTATATCCGCTCTCCCGGGACCCCGCCTCACTATATCCGCTCTCCCGGGACCCCGCATTCACTATATCCGCTCTCCCGGGACCCCGCATTCACTATAACCGCTCTCCCGGGACCCCGCATTCACTATAAACCGCTCTCCCGGGACCCCGCATTCACTATATCCGCTCTCCCGGGACCCCGCATTCACTATATATCCGCTCTCCCCAGACCCCGCCTCCACTATATCCGCTCTCCCCAGACCCCCGCCTTCACTATATCCGCTCTCCCCAGGACCCCCTCCACTATATCCGCTCTCCCCAGACCCCGCCTCCACTATATCCGCTCTCCCCAGACCCCGCCTCCACTATATCCGCTCTCCCCAGACCCCGCCTCCACTATATCTGCTCTCCCCAGACCCCGCCTCCACTATATCTGCTCTCCCCAGACCCCGCCTCCACTATATCTGCTCTCCCCAGACCCCGCCTCCACTATATCTGCTCTCCCCAGACCCCGCCTCCACTATATCCGCTCTCCCCAGACCCCACATTCACTATATCTGATCTCCCACAGTACAAAAACACGGAAATGCAATTATTTTAGTAAATATAAACACCTTTTCTCATCAGCAGTAAATAGCAGTTGTGTGACTTCTATCAGTGTCCAGCTGAGCACTGGTTAAAGCTTGTAGGAGGAGGAGTTCTCAATCTCCCTCGATTGTCCTATGAGGGTGTATAACCCCTGACCTCTGTCTGAACTGTGCCGATTTGGCTCTGTGCCGATTTGGCTCTGTGCCGATTTCATGCACCCTCCCAAGAAGAAAAAAAAAAAAACAAAAAACTAGCAGTACACTCCAAACTGAGCATGTGAAGATTGTCCCCAAAGCTCTGTTCTATCGGGAGATGAAGTAGGGAAGAAAGGAAAGATCAGAGATGACAGGATCAAACAGGTTTTTTTTTTTTTTTTTTTTTTTTTTTTTTTTTTACACACAGATGTGGAGGATTAACCCCCTAGATTCCACAGTGAGTATAACAAGTATGCTTTACTACATATACAGACTGATTTTACTGTTGTGGGGTTAGTAACATTTTAAATAGATGAATTCATGAAAAAATTAAAGCTAAAGGCTCCACACATACTTGTGCAACTTGTCATGAGACTTTGGACACAGTCACATGACATATCGCAGCCTATTGTTTTCAAAGGCACCCGTTTGGATCTACGCAACATCACAGCAACTTTAAAAAGGTTCCTGCACTCTCTACGACTCAAGTCGCATGACTATGGAGTCACACGTGTGAAGAGAGCCTAAATATATTTCCTCAATAGCCACAGAAGATATAAATTACTTTCTGCACCTTTGCAAACCCAGACATTTCCATATAAAAGTAGCAGTGACATCACTGTGGTGTACATAGCCGGTGCAGACAGCAGAGCCGTGGGAGGGACCCAACAGGCTCCACCCACCACAGGCTGCCTGCAGAAAACCACAGGAGGGGGCGGAGACGAGACCAGTCACCCTGCACAA